ACGAGCCGAACACGAGCTGTTTGCGATCAACGAGCTTTTTTTATAGCTCTAATTTTTACTTTGTAAAACCAATGTTTCGGGTGAACATCATAAAAGATAGTTAATTGAGAGCAATTTTCTAATAATACCTAAAATAGACGACTTCTTGAGAATCTTTTCAAAGTATCGATGCTTGCAGAAGCTGCAAGCAAGCCTCCCGTAAACGCACAAGGTGGATTTTATGGCACTTTCTGAATGAAGGAATGAAAAACTTCTGATGTCCGCAACATACGTAAGGTTGCACTTATTATAGGGATTTTTTTTTAATGCATAACCCTTAAAATCCTTCAGCTAACTGGTTGAGCAAGCTGATGCGTCCCGCCAACCCCTTGCAAATGCTTTAACTACGGATGCCTTGATTGCCCAATAACTGTAAATTTCTTCTATAAGTGTCCTGTACCCCAGTCTATTGGTTTGCATCCACGGTATATGTGTGTGTATGTTCGTTTCGATCTATTGGTTCGCATTCACGGTATAAGACCTCTCAGGTTGAGGGTTTGAATCGCCAATAACTGTAAACCCCAGTCTATTAGTTTGCATCCACGGTATATATGTGTGTGTAGGTGCGTTTCGATCTATTGGTTCGCATCCACGGTATAAGACCTCTCAGGTTGAGGGTTTGAATCCCCTTTAACACAGTTGGTCTTAAGGAGGTGGTACTCGAATTATTGGAATGATTATTACGTTAAATAGTAACTTAGTATGATGAGACTGACTTTATACACAATACCACATAAGAAATACACATTTACAACTTCCTCAATGAGCATGTAAAGCACCTAACAGTTTATCCTAATGTTGACCCGTGCTATATTTTTATTGAGCAGATACGGAAAACATGGCCAACGAAAGGCTCAAGAAAATTGAGGCACGGTTACATTAGCAATCAAAATTAACGCGCTCCCAAACGCACGTGTATATTGACTTAGCTTATCAAACATTAATTAAATAAATCTTATTTTCAAGCCCAAACCTGACTAATAATAAAATGTTCGGACAGTTGTATCCCTACTCGACCTTTTCAATAATACACTAGGCCTGACCTCACTGGAGCTAACCCAGTTAGTATGACTACTGCTGCATTGTTCTGTTAAATGCCTAAATTGTTTAGTAGAGTACAAAAATGATGGATTTTCAATTCCCTGGAGATCAACTTCTCCATTGCTTCCAATCCCCTTCACCATTCTTGAATCCATGGGACTGAGATCAGGTGACTCTGATATTGTCCCGTTTGAGTTTGGTGGGAAAAGGAATCCGTCCAAATCTTCTGAGAATCTCAGATCAGGGCTATTACAGTTTATAAGACCTGGTTCACCATTTATTGATTCGGTGAAATCCTCGGTGGTAGCAGAGTCTTTGATGCTCTCAGCGCTCCAGGAAGATCCCTCATCAGAGCAGCTAAAAAGTGAAGAGCTTGCACTTGACATATCAAGCTTGGACCGATGGAGCCTTTCATCAAACAGATCATGCAGAGCAAGCTTTGGATCATAAGAACGGAAAGCCTGATTTCTGCCTGGGTGTGAAGACTTGGAGAAGGATCTTGCCTTGGAGTAACGAGAATCACCATTCTGCTTTACTCTGTTCACATTTGCTATTTTTTTCTTAAGCAGACTCGGGGCACGCGGAGAGCATCTAATTGAAAAGTAGTCAGCCATACAAACATGTACAGATGCAGATAATAGTGGGTAGGGTTTGGGGATTTTGTAGTTTACCGGGCATACAGAAGCATATATGCACCTTGAGACAAGACTGCCTGAAGCTCAACTTGTTTTATCTGGAAATGAAAATAAAAAACATAAGATACAAGTAAACTGGCGTTTATCAAGGCTACAATCCATATAAACCATTCAGTTAAAGTTATAAGGGAATTTGTTGAATGCAGGTAGTTCATAGCTAACATCAATTTAAATGCACTTTAGGCCATACAAACGCTTTTTTATGGCAATCATGACAACGGAGTGAGGAGGATGTCGAGTTGAATTTATGACAACGGAGTGAGGACTTTTGTTCAGAATCACCATAGAAATTCACCTCTCTCACATGGGATAAATCAATAATAGAAAATGAGAGGAAGAGAAAAAACAGTTATCCTATTCATTCTATGAGTTGGTGACAACAACAAAATAATAATTGAAATAGAAAGGGAAATGCGCCACAAAGAGAAACATTTAAACGGTTTGACCACATAAATTTGCAGCCACTGCCGAGAGAAAAGAGAATTTTTAATAATATATACGAAAATTATTACAAAAATATATCACGGATCTCTTTTAAACACTGTACAATAATAACTATGATGTGGGAATATCTTGAGAAGTATCTCTGGGTTGTAGCTAGATCATCAATGGTTTGTAGATTAGAGAGTAGGCTATAGACTGCTCATTTCTATGGTTAGGTCCTCAAGAGATTTTAGCAACATTATTTAAAGTTTTTTTTTTATGAAGAAACGGATCACCATTTATTAGCAGATTCCTAACACTATATCAACATTGTGCTGAGTTTGATCATTGTTAATGTGTTGATCAATTCTAGCAATTATTATTGCAACGCATGTAGAATTAATGTGGCCTTCATAATGAAAGAATCTGAAACTCTACTGCTAATTAATGATGTTACAGTTGAGATCTTCCTCAAAGGAATAGTGATCATAAACCAGCTTTCTGGAGACTCTGTATTAAGAGGACGTCTAATTTTCCAAGGAGCACGCCTAATTTTCCAGAGACTCCATATTTCCGAGACTATTCTGGATAAACTTTTATAGTCCCAAAAGAAAAGAGCAATATCTCAGCCACTAATTTTCTTCCAATGCTTTCTGATGGAGTTACAAGTAGAAATGAGCAGACATTTGACACCAGAGATTTTAAGGAATATATTTTTCTCTTCATTTAGGAAGCCTTAAGATACAATTCAAAAATATATCCGCGTGCTTCTATGAAACTCCTCGATCATCCATCTACACTTTATGTGATCTTATTTAATCTTTTCCAAGATGAAGAGATCATGAAAATATTCCTTCAACTAGTATGCGAAGGCAGGTTATTAGCGAAAGAAATCTTCCACAAAAGGTGATGTTGAAGATGATGCTTCTCTAAAATTTCTACGCGTTGAAACTCCAATAATTGGTACTGTAATAAGTGGATCACCAATGACAGAGAAAAAAATCAAGCCAGAAAATGGCTATTACAATGAAAGAAGGTGATGCAATCATGAATAATGTGAATGAAATTGCCCATGAAACAAAAATTTGGGTTTTGATAAAATCTGATAAGAGGGTTGTTGATGAGACAATTGCTCCATCTAAGTTTGAAAGTTCCTCATACTAAGAAAATCTCAGACTTGCCAACTTAATCTAAGGTGGATATGATGATTTAAAAACTTCTAGTAAAGCATGATAAGGAAGTGAAAGGCATGAAAGAGGATGTTGTTAATGAACCAAATATCTCATTTCCCTCCGATGAGGCGTTGGAATCTATGAAGATTAAATCAACAGGTGAAAAATTGAACATATTGTTGAAGCAATTGCAAAGAAGGTAATGCAATCCAGTATTATAAAAGCGCTAAGCGCAAAACGCAATACTATGTGCAAGGCCTTATTATTGCTTCAAAGTACGAAAGCACGGAGCGAAGCTTCTAATTCCTTGTAGTACGGTGTCAAATCTGCGACATTGAATGTAGCAAAAACATTATAGTCACTGGTAAGTTGATCTTGTAAGCATTGTTATTTAGCTTCCACAACGTAGGACTTGAATTTTCAGAATGCTCCCACTGAGAATCTTTCTTTCTTCAACTTGATCCATACTAGGTCCCTTTCTTGAAACATCACCTTCATTTTGGACTTGTTTGCCTATGTTTGGTTCTTGAGGTTTTGTTTAGCGATTTCCTTCCCAACATCCTCATGGAGTTTCAGAATCTCGTGCATTTGTTCCTTAGCATCCTTGCTAATTTTTCATGCCGACGGGAGGGGTACCAATTCAAGTGAAGTGAGCAAACAATCTCGAATGGGATGTCTCCCATAGTGTGACTCACGAATCTATTACAAGCAAACTCAACCTGAGTTAGGATCAGACCTCACTGCTCAATGTACTTCTAAACAAAGCAACTCAGCGGGATGTCTCCCATAGTGTGACTCACGAATCTATTATAAGCAAACTCAACCTAAGTTAGGATCAGACCCCACTGCTCAATGTACTTCTAAACAAAGCAACTCAGCAGATTTCTATGCTCCTTCCTGTTCACTACCTCCGTTTGACCATCCGTCAATGGATTAGTTGTGGAATTGAAATGAAGCTTGGTGTCTAATTTTCCCCAACAGAGTGTTCTAGAAGTGACTCAGAAACTTGACATCTCAGTCTGAAGTAATGGTCCTATATATCCCATGCAGTCTTACAATCTCCCTTAAATACAAGTCTGCAACATGTGAGGTATCCAGTCTTTGTTGGCAGGGTATGAAATTCGCCATCTTCGAGAATCAATCTACCATAACCATGAAAGAATCCTTATTTTGCTGCCCTTAGGAGTTCCACAACAAAATTCATGTTAAAATCCACTTACGGTGCCTCTGGCACTGGTAATAGAGTATATAGCCCTGAATTTCACCATGTGACAAATTTGACAACGAATGACGTGCCGCTCCACATCTCTCGCTAGTCGAGGCCACCAAAAGTGCTCTCTCACGAGTGCTAGAATTGTCTCTTCCAAAATGCGTCGAGTCCTCCATTTTGACTCTATTGAACGATGGACCCCCTCATTGAAAATCTAAGAATGTAAAATTTACTTTAGTAGAACAAATAATCATTAGCTCTGTGGTACTGCTCGGTAGATTTCTCCTAACACTTCTCCAAGATTTTCCCAAAATTCTCGTCGACCTGGTATAGCTTCTTTACTACCTCAGCCCACGACTTTCGCCTGCATCGCAGTAATTAGCAAGTGACGGCTGCTCTGCGCATCTGCTACACAGTTCTAAACCCCCGCATCGTGCTTAAGCATGAATTGGAACGACGCCAAGAACTCCACCCAAGTTGTGTGTCGGACCTACAATTTACTCTGGTTGTTCAAGAATTTCAAGATTTTGTGGCCCGTGAATGTGAACTCACTTGTCGGCAGTTAATGACTCCAATACTCAAGAGTTCTCACAACATCATAAAACTCCTTGCCGGAAGTTGAGTAGTTCCTCTAGGAATCATTCAGCTTCTCATTGAAAAAGGTGAAGGGGTGACCTCCCTGGCTAAGCACTATTTCTATCCCCATGCCGAATGCATCACACTACATGGAGCAGCTGGTTGAAATTTGGTAATGCCAAGACTGGCGTCTAGGTCACCTTCTCCTTGAATGAATTGAAATTGTTCTAAACTGCCTTTGTCCACTGGAACTTCTCACCCTTCAAAAATCTATCAAAAAGGCAGTGATGATACTGAAGCTCCTGATGAATCACCTGTAAAACAATGTTATTCCCAAAAACTGTCTCAGCTCGGTAAACGACTGCAGTGCGGTCCAGCTCACAATGACCTCAATCTTTATAAGATCCAGCTAAATGTCTGCACTAGACATACTATAACCCAAAAATATACCTGGTATTTCATAAAGTGATACTTTTTTGAATGGTCATATAGCTTCTCTGCTCGGAATACTTCTAATACAGCCTTCTAGCATTGTGAGTGCTCCTTCTCAAATCGTCTGTATACTAAAATGTCGTCAAAATAGACCAACAAAAATTTCCCAACCTGAACCCAAAATACCTTGTTCATCAACTTCATGAAAGTGTTGGGCGTGTTTGACAATCCGAAGGGAAAAACTATCCACGCATATAAAAATCAGTTTGTCTCTTGAAAGCGGTTTTCCACTCGTCTCATGACTATATCCGTTTCTAGCGATACCCACCACACGAGTCAATCTTGGAAAAGATGGTAGCTCCGTGCAACTGCTCCAATAGGTTTCCTAGGCAAGTTTTGGGAAAAAAATACTTGATGGTAATGTTTTTGATGACCATATTATTAATGCACATCCACCACGATCGTCCTTCTCGGGTACCATTGGGGCGGGGACAACAAAAAACTGGTACTCTCTCTAACCAACATCTCGCAACGAGATCCTATACCTGTCGTTGTAACTCATACTCCGCAGGTCTCAATCTGTAGGCATGTTGATTTAGACAACAATGATCTTGTGATGAGGTCTATGGCATGCCGAAGGTCCCTCATTAGTGGTAATCCCTCTAGAACCCGATTACCCTCCTAATTTTGTAAGGATTACTATGTTGGAGGAAGCCCAACCTTTATTGCTAGTTTATATGATCATTGGGGCAAGGTGACGACCTATGATGAAAGAACATAAAAATAATTAAATCTTATACGCTAAACAACTAACATTCTTATGATATTGACCTCTATGAAATGAATGAACATGCTATACTTATGATTTCATGCTTACGACCAGTATGTTACAATACAGTTGATTTTTATACCACCTATCCTGCTCTTTTTTCATGTTCTCTACTATGCCAATATTTTATAATTGTATGTAGACATGCATAGTTTCATATGAGCTTGCAAGTTACTTTCTTTCCATTTTTACAATCTTATTTTAGCCCTGATTAGTTTGTTGAGTTAGTTTTGCTCACTCTACATTGTTGTCTCCAGGTAGAGGCAACGAGAAATGGGGAGAGTAATAAGGTGTGACTTGCACAACTTTTTGTTCCATAGTTGGGAGCATGTCTATGTTATGATGATATGATTTCCATGCTTCCGAAAATGTATATGAAATGAAATGTATCACATA